CCTTAACTACATCTTATTTCGTTTATTTTCATCTATTCAGTTATTATGCACATTTCACATATGTTATTCCTGACCTTTTGGCCTTCAGTATCCATCAGGACTTTCATTCATCACTACATTTTCAGTATGAAAACTGAAACTAAGTGTTGTCAAAACTAAATATCTAAGCTACAGTTTTTTAGAACAAAGGCGGCAAAGTTTGTTGTAGCAACTATAACGGCTATAAAACATTAGACAAGCAAGTGCATGACCTGCCCAGCCCCTGCAATTCACAGTATGTCTCATTTCCTCTTGTGAAATGGAGCTTTCGTGTTAATCATTTACCTGAGTTAATCGAGTTAATTCAATGGCCAAAAACTGAAACAAGGAGATTCAGACATGCACAATGTCCCAAAACGTTTTCAGGTTTTCATCATATTAAGTCAAAACAGAGAAGAATGTAGTTTGCACACTGTAGTAGTAATAAGATTGTTACATTAATGGTCTATTTTTAATTAGTTTTGTTGGTGCAACAATTGCATCACTTATATTGTTTAACTTTAAACATTATTAAAATGACTTTTAAAGGATTTGTTCACCCAAAAATAAAAATTCTGTCAACATTTAGTCACCCTCAAGTTGTTCCAAACCTGTATGAATTTCTTTCTTCTGCTGAACACAAAAAGAAGAATTTGGTTAACCCAACAGTTCTTCTTTCTTTTGTGTTCTGCATAAGAAAGAAATGTTACAGTATGTGGTTTGGAACAACTTGAGAATTTTTTATATTGGGTGAACCATCTATTCTTTAATTCAAAAATGGAAAACATGATCATCATATAAAAAATATAGGCTGTTGTTCCGTATAAATCGCATTTGTAATGTATTCGTGCGTAACTAAATAAATCTGTAGGAAGAGAAAAAAAAAAGCAATAATTGACCAACATAAAAATAACTTCTTTAGGCTATAAAACAACGTTAATGCAGAGATCAAAACGCTCAACAGGTGCACATCCGTGAGAGAAGATCTTGTCCTTCTTATGACATTTGACATGAGGTCAGCTAATTTATATTGAAATAATATAGCCTACTTACAGGTGTCTCTTCTCTCCTACGACCTGCTCGTGAAGTGCAACAGAAGTCCAAACAAACTGCCTGCGTTTCCTCTTTTGACGACTGCAAACCTCACATCCAAGTTAAACGTTTGACAGCAACGAGCGGCGCTCAACACGAAAGCCAAGACAATCGTGTATTTACTGAGCCCGTGGCAGGAAAACGCATTCATTTTTTTTCTATTAGTCTCTGCGAAGGTTTTGTTGGGCGAGACAGACACAGAGAGCGGAGAAAGATGAGTCTATCAAGGTCTGAACAGGAGCGAATTTGTCAGACGCTGTGAACTTATTGTTCATATTCGTCATTCTTCCGGGATGTTGAAAACGTGACTGGAGGGCATTGAAATGGAGCGCGCGCCCGCGGACACCTTGATAGAGGACGAACTTGCACAGACAACACTCACAGTTGCAATCTGTAATGTCTAGAAAGGCTTTTCAAACTTTTTTATATGGTCCACTGTGGGACGCTTTCCTAAATATATCATGTATATTTACAACAGTTGTAGTAGGCCATGTTTTACTTTATAATACTGTCATGACAAACAAATGTTGTTTTGAAACAGTTTTTGTTTTGTATAGCCTACTAAACACACACACACACACAAAAAAATTAATCTATTTTACTGAAAAGTTCATAGTATATTTTTTCTGCCTATATATAAACCAGAAAGGAAACATTCATTTTCTATGCATCTTTTTACGAGAAAAAAAAATCTTGAAAATATCTGTAGGCCTATTGAAAACATTTTTACAAGACTATTGTTAATTTAAATGTTAAAAACTAGGACTGACAAAATAATAAAATAATAGTGATTTATCTTATGATTTCCATTTTTAGAAAGCAATGAAACAATAAAAAGGTTTACAGTCAATGTTCAAAATATTTTACACTTTTTTTCCTTAAAAATTTTCCACTGATTCTGAAATACTAATGATCTCTCAAAAGTTCAATTGGGCATAGTCACCACATTTACATCATCATTATTTAAATTGTGTTTAATCTTAAAGGTACAGTAAGTGATTTTTGTGAGAAATCAACGCAAACAAACACACCCCCTCCTCATTGCTCCGCCCCAAAATGCAGGAACATGCAATAAGTGCATGGCTGACTGTTTATGAAATCTCTCATATACTCTCTTAAGTACTTATTTCGAATAAGAAATTACGTCACATGTTAATGGGTGTAGTGAACGTAATCCGGACATATTCCATGTTGCCCTTATCACGTGACCTTTCAGTGGCTAAACTAACGAAAAAGTAAGCTTCAAGCCCAGACGTGTCCAAGCACGCAGTAATGACTTTATGAATTTCTTCACTTATAAGATTGATAATATTAGGGACAAAATCATAACTATGCTACCGTCTATACAGTATCGCATCAGGGAGTGCATTGTACTCTGCCTGAGGAAAGATTTGGTTAATTTGCTGCTAGAAAGGAAGAATTTTGCAAACTCGTTAATTCATCTAAATCAACAATCGTGTGTTACACCCTATTCCGACTAAGCTACTGAAAGAGATTCCGGATGTCATAAATCCTCTTCTTAATATAATTCATTTGTTTTTGTCTCTATGGATACGTACCAAAAACCTTTAAGCTCACTCTCAGAAAAAAAGGTACGAAAGCTGTCACTGGGGCGGTACCTTTTCAAAAAGGTACACTTTTGTACCTAAAGGGTGCATATTGGTACCTTCATGGTACACTTTTGTAAAGGGTGCATATTGGTACCTTCATGGTACATATTTGTACAATTATGGTACCAATATGCACCCTTTAGGTACAAAAGTGTTCCTTTTTGAAAAGGTACCGCCCCAGTGACAGCTTTTGTACCTTTTCCTGACAGTGCTGCCTATGATATATATATATATATATATATATAAGGAGTTCAGATGCAAAAGCCTCTAAGTGCCATTTGAAATTTTCTTCTAGAATGATCATTTTTATCAAGCTTGTATATTTAAGTTCAGTGATTTCACTTAAATGGCAATGATAATTACCCATTAATTGTTATTTAAGTGAAATTACTTAAAAATAAATTACTTGAAATAACTTAAATATACAAGTTTGATAAAAAATCATCATTAAAGAAGAAAATTTCAAATGGCATTTAGAGGCTTTTGCATCTGAACTCTTCATATATATATATATATATATATTACTAGATCAGCATTTTAAGCTGTCATATGCTAATAGAACAATATGCTCCTCACATGTTACAATGTACGCCACACCCTAAGTAGGTTACACAAACTGAGAAAGTCAAAAAGCATTAGGTTGTGCCCCACTCTCCCCTACGTGAATTTGGGATGCACCTAGGCCTACTGTTTCATTTATTTTTTTGCCTACTAGCTATAGAAGTATGCGAATTTGGATGCATCATGCATCTTTTTAAGTGTGTTCGACTTGAAGCAGCGCTGCGCAGACCGATCTGTGTATAACTTCAAAGTAGCATATGCAGCAAGATTAGAGAGCAGACTGCTCCATATGCTTTCGAATCAAATGTTTCGTTTTTTGTTGTAATTGTTTGTAATGTTTTATAATTTAACAATAAGTGCTCATGTTGTAGAACATTCATCTGTTAACCTCACTAAAATGTATATCACCATGTCAACAAGCAGTAATTAGACT